GAAGGCTGAGAGGAGACATGATAGCTATGTATAAATATGTGAGAGGAAGTCACAGGGATGAGGGAACAAGCTTGTTTTCTACTTTCCTGGAGACTAGGACATGGAACAATGGCTTCAAACTACAAGAAAGGAGAATCTATCTGAACATGAGGAAGAACTTCCTGACTGTGAGAGCCGTTCAGCAGTGGAACTCTCTGCCCTGGAGTGTGGTGGAGGCTCCTTCTTTGGAAGCTTTTAAACAGAGGCTGGATGGCCATCTGTCGGGGGTGCTTTGAATGCAATATTCATGCTTCTTGGCAGGGGGTTGGACTGGATGGCCCATGAGGTCTCTTCCAACTCTATGATTCTATGATTCGCTGAACACTGTATCTGATCTAAGCTTCCCAAGACTGGTGTCCTGCACGTACATTGCAAAACAATATGGGCAACAACAATGACATTTATGGTCTACAAACAATAGAGAGCAAGGATTCCCCGAAGTATGAGGGCAAAAGGCCAAATACATCAAAACGTAATACAGTTATATGATCATAAGAATGTATATCATATCTATGCTATAATTTTATCACATTCAATGTACTAGCAGCTTGTACAAAGTATACTCAACAGAGATTCAAAATGCAAAATCTCGAAACCAAAAAATTTTCGTTATGTGGGATAAACAACTGATTCTTACAGCAAAATGCAAAAGTTTGCAAGTCCTATTTAAAAACCAAAAGTTTATCAACAACAAATCAGAGTTTGTACGTCTTTTTTTTTTTTTTGGCAAGTCTCTGAATCCAAAACTTCCTAATGTGGAATAAACAGCTGATTCCTACAGCAGAATGCACAAGTTTGTAAGTCCCTTTTTTTTAACCAAAGTTTGTCAACAGCAAATCAAAGTCTGCTAGCACATTGAATGTGATAGTACTATAGCATAGATATAATATACATTCTTATGATCATATAACTGTATGCAGAGCCAACCTTCAGAAATGGGGCTACAAAGTGGAATCCACGACATGCGAGTGTGGAGAAGAGCAAACTACAGACCACCTGCTGCAATGTAACCTGAGCCCTGCCACACGCACAACGGAGGACCTTCTTGCGACAACACCAGAAGCACTCCAACTGGTCAGATACTGGTCAAAGGACATTTAATCAACTACCAAGCTTGCTAACTCTGTGTCTTTTGTATGTTTGTTTATTTGCTCTGTCAAAAATGTAATACAACTGTTCGGTTGCCTGACACGATAAAAAATAATAATAACTGTATTAAGTTTTGGTGTATTTATGGTCTACGCCAGGCATGAGCAAACTTTGGCCCTCCAGGTGTTTTGCAGTTGTCGTCCAAAATACCTGGAGGGCCCAAGTTGGCCCATAGATGACATACGTCTGTGCTATGCGTATGTCATCTATGTACTGGAGGATGTTGTCCACATACTGAGGAACTGTGGGAGTTGAAGTTTAAAACATCTGGAGGGCTCAAGTTGGCCCATGTCTGGTCTACAGGGCACCACGTTGAGGGAAGCAGACCTGGCCATTTGCAATAGTACAATTGTCCATATGATCTCCACTCAGATTTTGTTGATATAGCAGTTGTTCACCTGCAAGAGTTATGCTGGATTCAAGGGAACATCTAGAGCAGTGTTTCTCAACCTGGGGCTTGGGAGGGTTGAGAAACACTGATCTAGAGAAAGCAACTGCCTGGGATCCAAAAAAGAATGAGAGGTCCAAGGAAGAACTCCATAGCTTCCGACACTGCCTTTGCACAAGTAAGACTTTGGCTTCCATATTTTCTAGAACACCGTAATTGAAAAGTTAAGGGTTCAAATGAAAGGAAATGCCACATCACAGGCTCATTGCCTCTTACTGTCACTTGGACATTATCAATTCATCGAAAGGATGGCGCACCTGGGATTTCAAAGTCAACATTTAAAACATCAAGTCCCTATTGTGTTATGGAAGCAAAACTATGAAAAAGAATTTGGAATATGCAGTCAGGAAAATAGATCTCATTTCTGGCTTCTTGTTCAGGTTTGCCTGTTTTTGCCTTAATCAAACCCTGATTAAGGGTTTAACCACATGCACACATATTTAGGTTAAATGGGTATGTTGGCATTCTCAGCACACAACGGTCATATCTTTGATTCTGCAGATGGTCTAGCACAGGCATGGGCAAACTTCAGCCCTCCAGGTATTTTGGACTTCAATTCCCACAATTACTAACAGCCTACCGGCTTTTAGGAATTGTGAGAGTTACAGTCCAAAACACCTAGAGGGAGGGCCGATGTTTGCCCATGCCTGGTCTATCGCCAGCCAGTAGCTTCAGTGGCTGAGTAGAAGGAGTTGAAGACTGCCTGCCTGAAGTTTGGGCCACCTTAACGACGATGGAATTCAGGTTGGGATGGCGTTTCAACCCCTCGAGGCCCTTGTTGTCTGTACAAAACCAAGCCTCAATTCTTTTAGAGGTTGGCGGTACCAAAGATGGTGTCTTCCAGGGCGCCTGAATCACTTCAAGAAGATAAGGCAGAAATGGTAGGAGGGGAGCAGGCGGAGGGGAGCAGGACTCTGACTTGACCCTCTTAAACAGTGACCACTTTAGAGGTCTGCTTAATTTCAAGACTTAGGTTATCCGCCATCCGTACCGTCTGATCTGCAAATGCCCTCACATTGTCAGTTGGTGAAGGCGGGTCAACCTCGTAAGCATCATGAGTTGGTGAGCGGTTGAACCCAAGAGACAGGACTGAACCTGAGTGAACCGACTCCGGAATATCTTTGTCCTGGTCTTCATCCTCAGATTGGAGAGGAGAAGAGGAGGACGAGATCAGCGGTGGAGAAGGTGGAGGGCGAGGTGAAGCCAGTGGGGGAGGTTGCTTCGAAGCTGAAGCCTTTAGTGCTCAAGCTAGTCATGCTGTTTGCCTACCCTTTTCTGGTGTCGAAGTGGCTGGAAAGAGCTCTTGCCTGACTGAGGACTGAGTAGGAGGGGGCTGTTGTACAATAGTCTCCACCGACTATACCGGTGACTCCGGCAGCTTTTGGGGAACATCATCAAAAGAGTCTTCCACCAGGGAAGGCTTTGTCACCCTCAGCAGTTGAGCCGGAGGAAGAGGAGATGAGCAGCTGGGCTGAGGTTGACACAGAGAGGGATTTTCCTGAATTTGGGGGACCCGGGGGTGAGATGGACACCGTCTGTGCTCAGCAAAATTCCTTGTGTACCCTCTTAAAAGCAATCCGCATCGCTGTGGAAGATGGCGGCCTCACTACAGTAGACCTCGTGGACCGAGTGGACCGAACAGACGCAACTGAGCTTGAGGTCGAAGACTGTCGAGGTTGTACCGTCTTAAAGTACACGGCTGCTTTGACTGCCTCGTTTGTCTTGAGGATTTTGACGTACCCAAAGTTGTCAACCTTGGTTTCTCTGGCGGTTTAGCTGCCGCAGAGGTCGAGGGCTCGGTGGGTGATTGGCCCGATGAAGCCGAAGGAGCCAAAGTTTGCTGATAAAGCAGGTATTTGAGGTGAGCAGTTCTATTCTTCCTGGCTAGAGCCGTCAACGGTTGGCAGTGATGGCAAGAAGAAGTAACATGGGCCTTGCTGAGACAAAGAATGCCTCTAGACCATGGCCATGTAGCCCGAAAAAACCTATAACAACCCAGTGATTCCGGCCATGAAATCCTTCGACAATAAACAAAGAAGGCACTTAGAGTGCTTGTCGGGAGTCCAGAATCTTTCTCGAGCACTGCGAGCAGTACTTAAACCGCGTTGTAGACATAGCGAAGGAAGTTTCCGAAGCGAGCTTTGTGGCGGAAAAAGAGGAACTGTGGAGCGTTCGCGCAGGGCGCCTTTTATGCCCTGCAAAGGGGACTGGGCAGGGTTACCTCCAAAACTTTGGATTTGAACTTTGGAAGTCTTTCCGTTGGAGCCTGCGCAGACGCAGATACTCCACATGTGTCGAGTCAGAGTCCACAAAGACAAAAACTGGGCTGCCAAATAGGGCCCTAAATGGCAACGAGAGGTTATTTCGAACCACAAGGAATACATGACCCAATTCCAAATCGGTAGAGAGAGAAAGGAGAACTCAAGGCACCGGGATTGTGGCACAACTGGCTGAGTGTCAGCTGCATTAAGATCACTCTGACCAAAAGGTCATGAGTTCGAAGCCAGCCCGGGTTGGAGTGGGTTTCCAACCAATTGTGTGTAGCCTGTTGTCGACCTTTGCAACCCGAAAGACAGTTGCATCTGTCAAGTAGGAAAATTAGGTACCACCTTAAAAGTGTGGGGAGGCTAAATTAACTAATTTATGAGGCCATAAAGAAGACTCCAGTAGAGCATTCCAGTGGGGAAGCATGCAGGGAATGCGGAAGTACTTCATCAGCGTCGCAGATGGATGATGAAAGCGATAGCTCCCCTGGCGGCCAGAAAAAGTTAAATAGCCTCTGTGTATGTCTGTATATGTTTGTATGTCAAAAATTGGCATTGAATGTTTGCCATATATGTGTACACTGTAATCCGCCCTGAGTCCCCTGCGGGGTGAGAAGGGCGGAATATAAAAGCTGTAAAATAAATAAATAAATAAATAAATAAATAAATAAATAAATAAATTCCCAGGATAGGAAATCTACGCAAGTGCATGAATCACAGTGTCACTCCTCCACATTTCATCACTATTGAGATTTCAAGTCTCCTGGTACTGAAAGGCCAGTGGACCAGCCTCCATTGACTGGGACAAGAGATTCAGAAGAAAAGGTGATTTGTGAGGATAACATGATTAAGACAGATCTCAAGGGAATCAATGACACATTCCAGGATTAGAAAGAGCTTTAGCCCAAATGAGACCAATCAGGAGCTCAATTTGTAAGGATCATTGAGGCTTGGTTTGATTTGGTCAGGCTCTACTTGAAAGAGAGAGAGAGAAAGGAGATTATGATAATAATGACGATGACGATGGGTGATGATGAAAAAAGTTTCAGAGACAGACGCATCACGTCAAGGAGGGCATGCAAACCTTGCATGCAACTTACCTTGTCATTGCTTATTTTAGCCCAAGCTGGGATAGGAATCCTGAGCACCTGGAAAGGGTAATTGGCTATAGCATGATTGACAACCAAAACAGAAACAGCAGAAGTTGCCTAGAAGGAACAATGTCGGTGGCCATGGAATGCCAAAAATGGAGAAGCGAGAACATAGTTGAAGCCGTACCATGCTAAGCATCAAAGTCGAAATGAGTTGTGGTTAATTACTCAGAACGTATTGGTTCTTCAGTTCTGGAGGTTTTTCCAGCAAAGCATGGGGTGCAGGGAGGGAGTCTCAGCTGAAGAAGAGATGGACTTGTGCGCCAGCTGCGTCCGTACCTTGCAAAGGCTGATCTGGCCGGGGTGGTCCATGCCTTGGTCACCTCTAGATTGGACTACTGCAATGCGCTCTACGTGGCTGCCCTTGAAAACGGCTCGGAAATTCCAACTGGTCCAACGAGCAGCAGCCAGGATGTTAACCGGGGCTCATTACAGAGAGAGGTCAACCCTCCTGTTCAAGGAGCTCCACTGGCTGCCGTTTATTTTCCGAGCCCAATTTAAGGTGCAGGTGCTTACCTACAAAGCCCTGAATGGTTTGGGACCACCCTACCTGCGTGACCGTATCGCTGTCTACGAACCCACACGCTCACTCCGGTCATCTGGAGAGGCCCTGCTCGTGATCCCGCCCGCGTCGCAAGCGCGCTTGGTGGGGACACGAGACAGGGCCTTTTCTGTGGTGGCCCCCCGACTTTGGAACGCCCTCCCGAAAGATCTTAGACAGGCCCCTACATTGGCAGTCTTCAGAAAGAATTTGAAAACCTGGCTGTTCCGACGTGCCTTTTCAGATTAGGAACCTCCAGCACCAAGTCCTAGAAGCACTTTAGTAGAACCAAGATCATTGCACACTGCACACTGCACTTACTCTATAATCCTACATTCCTCCCGCCACATCAGCACTTTTAACCCTGTACCCCTACTCTGGCCGGCCCAGTTTTAATATTGTCTTGTTGTATTGTTACTGTTATTGTTTTTCTGCTTAACTGTTTTAATTTGCTTTAGGTATTGTATTGTTGTATTGTGTTTGGGGCTTCGGCCTGCATCACTCCTTCTTCTTCTCCTACTACTAGTAGTAGGTATGGTGTCAGAATGCTGACTCACAACACTATCGAATCCTTCGGGAGATGCTAGCGGGGTAGAAATAAAGTTATAATAATAATAATAATAATAATAATAATAATATGAAGGCATCCCATCCTAACTGCTCTTGCTAACATTAAGTAAGAAAATAATTATCTAGTATCTCATTACACAATGGTTTTGCAAGCTATGCCACAGCTGCTGCATAGTTACACTTCTGTGCTTCCTCCACAGCGTGTCACCTCCCTTCTTGCAATCTCAGCATTCTGGATCTCAGCCTAAGTACACTGGGGAAACTTTCTCTTCTGCCTGCTTCCAAGAGAGTCTTGAATAATATTTATTTACTTACTTACTTACTTACTGTATTTGTATACAGCCTTTCTCAGCCTGTCGGCGACTCAAGGCGGTTTCCAACAAAACAGTGTATACAGTATCATAAAACAATTTTAAAAACATTACAATTACATAACCCACAACAGCAATAAAAACAACATCATTGGCATCTCCTTATTGTCAAGCATTGTCCAATTCCATCGTCAATCGTCAATTTTCTATATCATTTATCCATATCCGTTACTATGTGTTTGTAAACGCTTGCTCAAACAGCCACGTTTTGACTTGCTTCCGAAACGTTAGAAGGGAGGGAGCAGATCTAATCTCTCTAGGGAGGGTGTTCCATAACCAGGGGGCCACCGCTGAGAAGGCCCTGTCTCTCGTCCCCGCCAAACATACCTGAGACAAAGGCGGGGCCGAGAGCAAAGCCTCTCCGGACGATCTCAAGGTTCTAGATGGTTCATAAGGGGAGATACGTTCGGACAGGTAAGTTGGGCCAGAACTGTTTAGGGCTTTAAAGGTTAAAACCAGCACTTTGAATTGTGCCCGGTAGCAAACTGGCAGCCAGTGGAGCTGGCACAACAGGGGGTTGTATGCTCCCTGAGAGCCACTCCAGTTAGCAATCTGGCTGCTGTCCGTTGGACCAGTTGAAGCTTCCGGACAGTCTTCAAAGGCAACCCCACATAGAGAGCGTTGCAGTAGTCTATATGGGATGTAACGAGAGCGTGGACTACCATTCAGATTCCACATCTAGCAGCCTACCACTTTCAAGTGCCTATATGAAATATATCTTTCTTGAGATAATATTTGGATTCTGTTGACCTATATCTACCAGTTTTCTAAAAGATGGATATGGTCAGGGGGTGAGTTAAGGACACCAGGACTCCTGGAAGTGGATGAGGATTTCCTGGCTGCCATAACAACAACAACAACAACAACAACAACAACAACAACAACATGGTCTAAAACAGGGGACCTCAAACTTTTTAAACCGGGGGCCAGTTCACTGTCCCTCAGACCATTGGAGGGCCGGACTATAGCTTTTTTTAAAAAAAAAATCAATAAAAAAATTCCTATGCACATTGCACATATCTTATTTTGCTGAGGGGGTTCTTTCTAGCCCTCTTTAGGCAGTAATTCCAGGAGCAGAGAACGAGAAATCTTCCTATTTCTAGTCTGAACAAAATCTGGCTAACAGTACTAAAAATACCTCTAAAATTATAACTGTAAATAAAGAACCACACTCAAACACAGGGGAACTCCAGACAAGAAACAATCAGGGCCAGCTAATCACCTCTCAACGAAGGATTCTCCCTAAAAACTGTCAGGCTATGAAATGGTAACCAAGGTGGCCAATTGAAACATTCATACCTTCCTCCAACAGACAAGAGTTCTTTCTCCCACCCTGGATCTTCCACAATTTTTCTAGTTAAAGGTTTTCCTTTGACATGAAGTCCAGTCGTGTCTGACTCTGGGGTGTGATGCTGATCTGCATTTCTAAGTCGAAGAGCCGGCGTTGTCCGTAGACACCTCCAAGGTCATGTGGCCGGCATGACTGCATGGAGCGCCGGGGCAGCCTCCCTTGGCTGGCTCACGCTGCCCATCGGGCCCAATGGGCAGCGTGAGCCTGCCAAGGGAGGAGTAGCCCCGCGCGGCCTACTCGTGAGGTGCTTTAAATGCAAGTAGGCCATGCGGAGCAGCTGCCCTTGGCTGGCTCATGCTGCCCATCGGGCCTGACAGATAGCGTGAGCAAGCCAAGGGAGGGGCACTGTGTGTGGGGGGGGCCCTCCTCCTTCGCAGGCCAGATAAGTGCCCTTGGCGGGCCAGAAGTGGCCCACGGGCCGTAGTTTGGGGATCCCTGGTCTAAAACATGGGCTAGACATACTTTAGAACTACTATTCCAGGCATGGGCAAACTTGGACCTTTCCTCCTGGTGTTTTGGACTTCAACACCAATCATTCCTAACAGCCTTAGTCTCCTTTCTTTTCCCCCTCAGCTGCTTAAGTGGAAAAGGAAAGGGAAAAGGAAAAGGAAGGGGGCCAAGACTGTTAGGAATTGTGGGAGTTGAAGTCCAAAACAAGTTTTCCAATGCCTGCACTATCCTGTAAAGACCTGGAGGTATTAGGAAGCAAATGACAACTACATTGGCATGGACAAACATTGTTAGAGTCAGTTCTGTGCAATCTGAAAGCTACACAACTCATTTCAAAAGCCATGTTCTTTGTGTCCTTCCTTGATTTTCCAAAGTTATATCTCAGGGTTGAGAGATGACTGTAAAGGTTCATAGCAATATTAAGGCTGGACACTGCTGTTAAGGATAGATTCAAACATGATTTCTCTGATTTTGGAATCAGTTTATCCACATTCATAGATTTATCCATATTGTGGTAGAAAGAATGCAAGTCTTTAAAAAAAATTATCCTCCCAGAATCTTGAACGAACAGCAACTTTAGGCGAATGTCAACAGTTGGGTTGGTTCCAAGAAAGAATGGCTTTTCCCTTCTTCTCAGGCTCAGGTGGCTTGGGAAAATGGGGTGGCACTCACCATCTCCTTGTTATTTTAGCCAGCAGATGAATCGCCGCCTCCTCCCTCCCACCCCCGGTCTCATTCTCCTTTTTGTCTTGAGTCTTATTTAGTGTGTAAGCCTGAGGGTACTTTCACACTCATTTTAGGCTCCCTTGAGAACCTTTTTGGTTGATAGGTGGGGTGGAAGTCAAGTACAAACAGCCAGGCTGTGTGTGGTGCAATAGGTTAAACCAGGCATGGGCAAACTTTGGCCCTCCAGGTGTTTTGGACTTCAACTACCACAATTCCTGACAGCCTACGGGCTGTTAGGAATTGAGGGAGTTGGAGTACAAAATTCCTGGAGGGCTGAAGTTTCCTATATCAGTGTAAAACCCTTGTGCTGATGAACTGCTGACCTGAAGGTTGGCAGTTCGAATCTGCAGGCTGGGGTGAGCTCCTGCTCTTAGCCCTGCCTCCTGCCAACCTAGCGGTTCAAAACAATGCAAATGTGAGTAGATAAAGGCAAAGGCAAAGAGATGCTCCAAGCAAAAGGTGTCCATGGACAACACAGGGTCCTCGGCTTGGAAATGGAAAAGAGCTCTGTTCTGGTACAGCTGTACCAGAAGCTCCAATTTTGTTTGCTTTGCATTGAATGTTTGTTTGCAGCCCTAAGTTTCAGGGACTCTGCAGATAGGTGGCTTCTTTTGGCTGCAGTCATAGGGCAAGCCACCTGCCCATCATCGTTGAGTTTGCCCCCCCCCCCCTTGCTCAGGGCAATTGGGAAGGGAGCCATTTTTTAGTTAGTCTCAGCAAGGAAAGCTATGTACAGGATGTGTGTAAACTTCCCCTGTCAAAAGCTTCAACTTTTAAGAATTTCCAGGAAAACAGCCCTAAAGACTAAAGAACTCCAGCTGGAGAACATCTAATCGCTTTATCACAAGCGAGACTGGTGGGGACGAGGGACAGGGCCTTTTCGGTGGTGGCCCCTCACCTGTGGAATGCACTCCCGGGGGAGATTAGGTCATCAACATCCCTCCTTGCTTTCAGAAGGAAGCTAAAAACCTGGATGTGGGACCAAGCC